TCGTTACCTACCGCAGACACCAGCGATCCAGGGTTTTGCAACTACATCATCAACATTTTGGTTGAATTGTGGACGAATTTTTGAATCAGCTTTGAAAATTTGGTTGTATCTTAATGTCCAAGAAATGCCATTGGTAAACAGTTATTGGAATTCTACACCTAAATTATAAATCTCCTTTTGCATGTGGCTTGGCTAGCGGGATTGAATTTTTACACTACAGACATGGTTATTAAGAAGATGTAACCCAATTTAGAGAAAAATCGGTTTGACTTGGAAAGGCGTGCGATTCATGAACTATTGCGTTGCTCTCCGATCCCCCGATGTTAGCCTGGCCGGTGAAGCCTGCTGGCCATCAATGTCGGTGATGGCCATTGCTTTGCTTCTGTCTGTGGCTTCAAGTGATGGCATTAACTGTATGTGTGTCTGTCATCACTGACATAGATCCCGTTCCCACTAGTCAAGCATTCAGCCTTATTAAGCAAATCCTCAAATCCACTGATATGCGGTGACCGGGTTGCTCTGTTGCTTAAAACTTCCAAATTCCAAAAATGTCATAAACCCTGATTAAATATTGTATCGGAATTCTTCTTAATGCTGATAAACTCCATTTCTTTGCATTTTCGACATCAATTCGATTAAAAAGCGACACATGCTCGATCTAGTGTTCCTGTGGCCACCACCGTCCAAGTTCAGATGGACATGCGACACTTGTAGCACATCGGATTTTGCTTAATGGAACATAACGTAACGTTGGCGGCGATCGATCGTAACCGGTAAACAGCGACTATCCAAACATTGACGTAGAGGGCTAGCGACAAGATCTCCAATCGTATAACCTAGTGAATGTCAATATCTTAACTTCATTTACTGCGTATTCAGTTTTTTGTCCGCCGCGTTTTGTTCAGATCTTAACATCGCTGTCTACCATTCATAGGTAGCTCGACGAGTACTCCATTTACATTATACGTTGGTTGCAACTGTACTGCGTTTCATAATTCGCACAAAAGAAGTGATGAGTGAAACCTTGTAGAATCATAGGCCAGTAAGCACCCAAGGGAGTTCGTAGATGCACAGGACTAACTTAGAGTCAAATTGGAAAGGCGATAAACTGAGGAGAACTCTATCATACCAGGAAGTTTTGCGTAACAGAATACATTTTTGCAATGTTATATCTTGTATCTCCTGTATCTTTTGTCGCCTTCTCGAGTACCGAAACCAATATTGCCATACTGTAAGGTAAAATGATTTGAGAGTTCCCTTGCTTCAAGTTTTCGCTTTGGGGCAAATGATATTCAGTAGTTTGCAGAGAAGTTTCAAACTTTCTTGTTCTTCTACAATGTCGCTTTTAAGTGGATTGCTCGCATGAGATACGTTTCATGTTCAGAACTGGATATTGCAAGGTTATGCAGGTCCAAGCTCTGTCATCTTTCTGTTTTAACCACGTAGATGTAGATGCGATTTTTTAGTCCACTTGCGTTATTGTTGTGCTAGCAATCTGTATCCTCTCTTTTTTATCTTTATTATCCATTTATCTATTATCCAGTCGTCTTGTTATCCACATACTCACCAAGTTAGATACCAGGACGCTTCACTGTTTATTCGTTTCTTTCTAGCAGGATCAGCGCCTATGGTAGTGATTGTATCGAATGTGATAACTTCAGCGAATTCCATTCTGTGATTTCAACGCATTTGCAAAACAATTAAAAAAACGATGTTAACTTTTTATTTATTGCTCACTAGTACTTTTCACAGCTGGATGTGATGTGAAATACAACCAATATGAGGCTAAGATATTTACAAGACTTGAACTCTAGGCCAGATTAGAGCCCACGATTATCCCTTCCGACGCCTCACGCGTTACCACTGCACCACTAAAGCTCTTTCCTTACCTTTCTCTCAGGCAGTTTTCTACAAAGCGGTGCCATCACCAATCACCCATCAAAGGGAAACAGTGATAGAACATCTGATGGAGCACTCCGTGAGCATTTAACTGTCCTAAAGAAGTCTCCTCTGGCACTTATCATCTTCTCATAGCGAAAAGCTCTCTTTAAATGTCGAGCTCCAGTATTTAAATAGACGTAATCCTGCGATTCTACACCCCAGCCAGACCCCGTAGCTTTGATACATACTCTCTTCAACAGCAAGAGCCTTGTGGCCTCAAAATGAATTCGTCCAAGAAGAGATTTCTTAGGAATTATTAAGTGTAGAGAGTGTTTTCTCGTAAGCTGCTCCCGATTGTGACACCTGTGATAGGAAGCTATCGATAGAACGCAAAAAACCGCTGCAAAGCCCTGCGTTAAATTCAATGCAGCTACTAGCCAATGTGTTAAAGCATTCATATATCAATTTCACATTCACTGAAGGTTAGATGTGGTTTTTGTAATCCATGAACCCAACGTAAACAAAATTCGTTTCGACCTATTTCTCATTATACCATGAGTTTTCAGGAGCAGACTTTTTCTTCTTCCAATTTACCTGCATATCTACCGTCCTTTCTTTCATTGAACTCCATGAACGTAGTTTCTACTTCACTGGTACTTCTTAAGAAGCTGGCGACATCTTCGATTGAACGGTGATTTTCTGGGAATTTGCAAGCGTCCTCTATGCCTTTTTCTTTCCAGTCTAATGTCCTAGTTATCCACTGGAATGCGGCGAACAGCTTTGCGCCGATGTGTCGCCCCTGTAGAGTTCCCTTTCTTCTGCTACGTCGTTACTCACAAAGCAATGTTGTTCGTGTGATGTAAAACATTACATCATGGAATAGATCACGTTCAGGGATATCCAATATTCGAGTAGAGCTTAAGTGAAAACCTCAAGAGACTGAAAATGCATTTCATTTTCCGTCGAAGCATACTGTACTGAACAATTCTGATCTAGTACGGGAAGCATCCCATTCGGAATATTCTAATCACAAACGATTTCTCTTTCTTTTAAAGTTAAAAAAGCTCTCGGCGCTGACCAATCTCTGAGGGATGCGACATACATTCAACTTCATTAAGCATCATCGATGGTGGTTCAATGCATATCTGGCCTTTCCAAAGACTTGCGGTGGCCTAGTGGTGTATCGAGCTAGTGCTGTTATGTCTTAAAAGATAAGAAGCAAAGCCTTACCATATTCAAGTTATAGGCGAAATAAGCATCTATTTAGGACCACGACACTTACTAGAGTAGATGAATTGTCTGACTCAAGGATTGAATTGACGGCCTTAGAACAATATCTCATCGAAACGGTTCGCAATTTTGTTTCCTTGATTTCGTAATTCCTTTACGAAAGGTTCATTTATGATTTATTTAAGAAATATCCCACCTACTTAAATGAGGATTTGCTCCTAGATCAACTATTCAAAAGACTGAATTTGGGGATACGACACAACCAGGATCGATCTTTAATAGATATCCTGCATAATAGATAGTATCTGATCAGACTCTATAACGACCATTGTCATCTATAGCGGCCGAATTCCATCCGACAGCATTTCATTACGATGATTTTAGCTGTTGTGAAAAGATATTTCGCAACAGGACTAAAGGTTACACAAATTTTCCTCGCTCCTCAATTGTTTAAAAGTTTGATCCTGCCCTTAGAGAGGATCTCCTTTAGTGTTCCCAATTATGTATATTGAGGGTTTTGATACTTCAGAAAAGTTACTCAAGCCAGCGAGGAGTTCCATTTACTTCCATCCGGAAAGACCATCAATTCTTGGGACTCTAAAAGCATAAAGGATGAATCTCTCGGCGTTGATCAATCCATGAGGGATGCCCCATGCATTCGATTTCACCGAGAACCGTTGGTGGTGACTGAATGCAAATTTGGCCTTTACAATGATTCGCGGTATCCTACTGATGTATCGAGCCAGTGCTGCTATCCTCCCAAACAGGTCTGGTATCATTTTGCCGACCCCGAGGGAATGGAGGACTTTGTGGGCCTAGTGCGCGGAGATCGTTCCGATGCATATTACAGGGCGCCTCCGACCACTACGCTACACGCAGCCTCATGTGGCTCTAGCAAGTACAAAATACGGATCTCGATGAACACTAAAAATAGAGCCTCAAGTAGAAATAGTACGGATTCCCATCCTTTCTATTGCACTAAGCAGCCATGGCGCTTATTCTGGCAAACAAAAGTCTTGCTGCCTTAGGCTAGAGTTACTCGGTTCGTAATGAGATTAACCTCTTCACGACCATGCGCATTGATTTCAATATGTACGCCGATGTACCTTCTGGACCGTGCATTGAATTCCATTCGCACGCTTCTCTCCCGCCTAATTAGTCGTGCAGAGCTTTTTACCGAACATTTTGTATTCAATCGATAGTTCGTCGAATACAGATTTCACACTGGGGCCCGTCAATGGTTAGGTATTCTCATTACGCTGTAATAGCTTAAGGTATATCATACCATACTTTCGGACGAGTTAGCCAGTCTGCTCGAATTCCACAGCGGATCTCTTGGCGTTTGCTTAGCAAAGTTTGGAGGTTAGGGGCACTTTACCGTCACGAAAAGATGGCATATTGCTTAGGACACTTCAGTAAATCTTTTTGTACCATTAAGAAGGTTTAAGCATCCTTAAAGCGCGCATTTATTAGGAGCCAAACTACACCCTTAGGAAAATAACATATTTCCAACTCTTATTACACTTTTTAATCGTCTATGCTGTAAACTATAAAACTTAAGCTGTGCTCTATTGTAAGGTGCTCATGCGGGAACAGTTACGTCACCTGGTTTCCCGCCAATCGTCGCATTCGAAATTTTGGGCGCCAAATGGTAGCGTCCAGGCTCGAGCAGTGCGTTACCCATAGTTGGCATTACTAGTGCTGGTTTCGTTGCTTTTCCTTTCAGTATTACTATGTTAGGTTATTTGTAGTTACTTAACCTCTCATGATGCTTTTGATTTCGTTTGTTTTGCGGTGTTCTGGTATTGTTTCGATTCGATTCAAAACTAAAAATAGCCTTACCTTTTTGTTCTCGAAACCTTTCCACTATTATAGGTAAAACGTTGTCGATGGAGTATCTGTTGGACAGGTACTTCTTTCACAATCTACCTTTCGAAGTTACACCGGAGACCAGGAAGGCTGTCGGACAAAGGGCGCTAACTTTAATTCAAGTATGAGTTCCACTATGTTTGTTTTGCTAATGATAATTGTTTTTGTATGGTACCAAGTAGTTGTTCTATGACTTGTGATTTTTTAGCCTGGACTTTTAGGTTAGGGTTTAGGTTTTAGTGAGAACTTTCTCTTTATGATTTCAGTGGGCTGATTGGTTATGCAAATACGAAAGTCCAGTGAAGATCTTTCAAAACAATCCCTATTTCGTACTCTTGGAGGTTGTCTTCCTGTTCCTTTGCCTGTTAACATTTCTACATGGTAAGACAGCTTTATTGTCACATGACTGGGTTTTTACGTAGAACTGAAAAAAGGTGAACGACATCAAGCAGGGAAAGGTTTCTAACAAAGTTAACTTTTTATTTACTGCCTATTACAATTTTTCCACGGCAGGGTATTATGTGTGATATAACCGCAATGGTGCTGAGATATTTGCGAAACTCCCTACCGCAGATGTGTGGGGTGGGGTTCGAAAGCGCTATTACGCTTTCCGGAGGCTGACGCGTTTACCACCACACCATGCATATCGTTCGTTTTTCCTGCCTCGCAGCTAGTTTCCTATCTACCAGTACCATTGGCAATCACCCGTCGACGGGATTGGTCTGGCTTGCCCAAATCGGCCATGGACCTCGTTAAGCTGAGGCTTTAGTGGAAATGATAATGTCAATTTTTTATTTACTGCCTATTACAATTTTTTAGGTAGGGTTTCTAAAAAATTTGAAGCAATTTGTTTTCAAGAAGCTTCTATAATGTTTGGGAATCTCGTCAAATCGTTCTTAGTAAGCAAACATTGGTGGGAGTTTTATTTTGTTTATTGGAAGCATTACTCTGTCCAATCTCATGATTTCTAGATGTCTATATTTAGCGCTAAGATTCTATGACGTGTATTAACTATTGGCTACTGTTGTTCAGTAAAATTCCAAGCACACCTCATTTTATGAGAGAAAGAAGAATTGAAGGATTCGCATGATGTGGTGGTGAACACGTTATCTCTAGGAAGGATAATAACGGAAACGTTCCCTGCTACAGACGCCTGGCGTCCGATTTTCTGGATTGAGTTAGAACACTATTGATTTTATAAAGGTTATGTAAATTTGGAACAATTGCTGAAGAATTTGAAACATGAGAAAGAGTATGTTTATTCTTAATGTCTTTGTGGCCTTGATAACCAGTGAAAACTACAGTACTTTGGCGTATTTTAAGGCATGCTTTGAAGCATAGGCTTCTAGCTATGGGTGCTTCATACAAATAGCCGAGCGTGGAGTCGATTGATAATCTGTTTCATAGTAATGTATTCTCTTTTCTTCGATCACAATTTAGCTTTCCGACATGGTGGCCGTTACTTATATGTCTGGATTGGTATCACAGTATTCGCTTTCAATATTGAGTGTCTATCAGTGTCCATTCCTGAATTGAACGTCTCGTGGCATGCTCAGGTTTTGCCCAAAATTCCTATTGTTGGGTGTTATGCTTCGATGCACCTTCTTCTTTCCCATTTTAGGGTGTTCTGAGCTTTTTTGGGATGCGTGTCCCACTCTACGCGCTTTTCGGCATCCATCAGACATTTGGCTATATCGCCTACGTTCTTGTTAGCAGGTAGGTGCAACTGTATTAAGTTTGATTCACGAAATAAAGGAAAACTAGGAACATCTTTAATATAAAGTATTGTTTGAGGATGCGTTTACCATGGTGGGCTGAAGGACCTGGTGTTGGTGTGAGCAGCGTCATGCTGCTATTCCCGTATCGTATTCTGGGTACCAAACTTTTGTGGTGGACTTGGCATGACACTGATCCGGCTCTGAATGACAGGTATGTTTTCGATTTACGTCTTTTTGCTGGAGAGAATTTTCTTGTTATCTACAGAGTGTTTTGGACTCCATGGGGTTTGTTCTATTTCTACGCTGCGTCTATGTGTTCGTTCGTGTGGATTCTACATCTGTTAAGGCGCATTTTACTTGAAAGGGACTACGACTGGATGAAGTAGGTTTTAGGTTTTCCGCTAGTTTTTTTTTAAGGGTTTAGGTATCTTAAGGGTTCCGGATAGTATAACTGGTTTGAATTTGTACTTTCAGGTTTCCAAGAGAGTTTCTGTGCTCATTTTTCGCTGGTGTACTCTCTTTTTGGTTGGGAAGCGTGCAGTTCTCACTCTTATACTGTCCTCTTCACGATTTGTTTAGGGTAGAAATTTAGAAATAATTTCGGTTTTGCATAAAATATGGTTTCCTAGGCCAATTATTGAGTTGAAAGCGATTAATTGATTGGCTAACACTATTTGCAGCTGTACGATCAACTTTCTAGGTCCATTCCGAAATTGCTACGATTCTATTCCTTTCTTCATATGCACTAATCGTTATCATTGCTGATAGGAATAATCCAAACACGGAAGCGAGAAACGGTAGGTTATGTACTTCATGGCGAGCACATACGTTTCATAATGTAGTCAAAAGGCGCGATTAGTGCAGTGGTAGAAGGCGCCCTGCATTACGCAGGGGATCGATCCATGGGCCCCGAGCTAAGTCCTGCATTATTTCGGGGTCGCAAACTGGTACCAAATTTGTTTGACAGGACGACAGTACTGACTCGATGCATCGATAGGCCACCGCGAGTTATTTTAAAAGCCAGCTATACATTCAATCGCCTTCGATGGTGCTTAATGAAGTCGAATGCATGGTGCATCCCGCGCTGATTTATCAATGCCCAGAGCTTCATCCTTTATTTTATTTATCGTAGTCATATCTAGCTCTTGTTAAGTTAGTTCGGATTGTTATCACTTTGTAACAAATCCTGGTTATTTTTAATCTCTTTAGTTTTTGAGTTTTACAAGTTTGGTTGTTAAGACTGTTTGAACTTTTTTAACATTCCTCTGCTTAGGTTCTCGGTTTTGGTTCGATGAACTGTCATGTGCTGTTGCCTTGGAATATCTATTTCTCGGCGTTCTAGTAATAGTTGCTGAACCGTTGAATATTGTAAGCGAGGTAATTGTTCTGAGTTCTTTTAAAATCTATTAATAACTTGCGTGTTTTGTTGATCACTGGAGGCTTATAAGCACCTGTGGTTTTGGAGCACGTAGAGAGAGTTTATATTAGAACAAAATGTAGCTGAGTGTATTTAACTTGTCATTTTTTGTTCACATATTCCTTTCAGGGTCTTCACCAACCGATTGGACCGTGTAATGAAATGGAAGAGGTTCGCACACCTAATTTGGTGAGATTCACAGATTGCTGACTGATGTTCTTCACATTTAGAGATTAGTGTTTTCTCTAGGTCCTAAGAAGAGAAAAGTATCTTTGCGCTACCATTTATGATGAGAAATACTTTGACTTCCATTGCATCCCAAGTGGTATCCCTAAACAGGTATTTCGTTTTCGTTTTACTTGACTGCTCAAATCATGCGATACTTGCAAAAGGTTGGCTACTTTTTTTTTAGCAGGTTGACGGTTCAGGAGGACTTCTTCCTCTGGAGTATTACCCCGTATGCGGAACTGCCTTCGATAACCGAGCTGAATATATTACAGTGATCTGGTAAGAGAGGTCCTATTTTAGAGATATCATTCTCATAATGCGTTTAATGTGTTAGGGGTTGTTGCATCATATTCGGTCTCATCTTCCATCAAATGGCTGCATTCTCTGGCTCCTCACCCATTGATCCAATTAAGGTTACTGTGTTTCTAGCTTTATTGAGTATCTTGTTCAAAAAGTGTGTAAAATGCTTTCAGGTTCGAAGACAGGTTAGCCGTAACCCATCCTCAAGTCAATGCAAAGAATCTGATCAAAAGACGCCGAAGTTGAGCCAAGGGATTTACCATCCTTTGGTTCCTCCAGCGGTAAAGAAAACGCAGTGATATTTCATTTCCCCGCGATAAATTACTACCTACGTTCCATTTATTTAACAAATTGCATTTGTGCTTTCCGCTTGGTTCCTAGCTGACAATTATTTTCACTATTGTCGATGTGTGAGTTCTAGAAGGGGGAAGGAATGTCGTGTAGACGTTTTATGGTATGCATGAATTCTGTCCTTGTCCTGGCATGTGGTTTTTCGTTTTTTAGCATGGCGTTCACATGACAGCCTCGCACTTACAACACTACTTCACTCCGGGGTCAGTCAAATCAAGGGCGACGGCGGTGGCGACGTTAGAGAAGAGGACGTCAAAACGTAAAATCACTGAGATTCCTGCTTCAACCCGTGTTTTACGTTCGCGAAGCTATGTTTAGAGATCGTGGGGAAGACATCAATTCTTAATAATTCTTAATATCCTTACTGAGCAAGCGCGGAGTATTACTTTTTACTACAAGGAAACTGACGTTTCGACGGATTTTGCCTTTTCAGAGCCTGGAAATGTCTAGTTGACCGCAATCTACCCAGCCAAACACCTCCATAACCAAACAGAGAGGATGTTTACCATTGTAACAATTCAGCATTTTCTGTTAGGCTGGGCAGGTTGCAGTCAAGATGACCTTTCCAGGTTCTGAGAAAGGCGAAATGTGCCGAAACGTTAGCTTTTCCGTAATAAAGAATAAAATAATATCTCATTTTTGCTCAACAAGAATATAAAGAATAGTCGATCGTGAGAATTGATCCTTAAACTTCCATCCAAAGAATGAGCTAGCAGTAGCTAGACACATGCAGTGTTTTTGCCATGATTTTTAATCGGTAGTGTTAGCGGTGCTTCAGGTCGCAGTCGTGTTTTCCATTTCACTCGAAAGCACTAGGGACCCATGTCTGTACATACGTTGCTGTGTTTCTATGTTGAGTTACATCGTGTGCAATGATCTCTTATGAACTGGTAGTTCTATGCTGTTCAAGGCTTGACGTCCTATCCATATTAGTTCTTGCACTTGCACAACTTACAATTTTGTTTCCTTCATTTTTGGAAATGTTTATCACAATGCATTTTGTGGATACTATACAGATATTCATGGCACTTCCAGAAGACAGTTTGGTTGTACCTAGCTTTTCTCCACAAAACTTTTCTTAACTTTCATTTTTGCATTCATTGTTGTCCTAAAGCAGAGAAGTGTAAAAGGACTCGGTCCCTAAAAGCTCTTAACAATTTGCGAAGAACGTTTTCCGGGCGAGTTTGCTTTTCGAGTGTACTGTGGTTTACATTTTTGTGTAACATTTATGAATAGTTCATTTGGATACAAGGTAGCATATTGACGAGAAGACTTGTATAAAGGTTGTTCAAGTGTGGGTGTATAGCGAACATCATCAGAACATTTTGTCATGTCTAGGAGGGGCTGGACATAGGAGCCCCTAAGCAATGCATGAAACGCGCAGGCTATCTCTGAAAGAAGCCTTCGATCCTGATCCTCTTGGCCTTTAGTAGATTTTACGCTGGGTTTCCGTTTAAATATTGTTTTTATGGAGTTATCCATTCCATACCTGGAGCTTGTAGAATTTACCAGTTGAGTCGTCTACATTCACATGGGCAACCTACTTCGGCAACTGCCACAATATGCCTGTTCCAAGCAATGTTTAAGTTTCTCTTAGAAAATCAACCAGTGAGACGAACAAAAGAAAATAAGAAGCAACCAATAGATCCTCTTTCTTGGGAAATCAATAATGTTTACATTATCGATTTCTCACGTATGATCTAGGACTGTTCCATAAAGTCATATGTTAAACAATCAATAGTCTTTCCATAGAGAGATAACTTCTCACGAATAAAAGTTTTTATATAAGATATTGTAGTGTTGATGTCAATAACTTTCATCTAAGGTGTTAACCTCTGGTAATCTAGAACTTGTCGGAAACTGCACTTCTTAGACAAGTATTGTATGTCCGGTACTTCTTATGTGAACATTGTAAACGGAATGTTCCCCATATCAGCCAAACGGCTTACCACCTCGCAGTGGTTTGGAGTCCTTCCTGGACGTCGGGCCGTGATATACAGGCGGAGGGCTCATCCCACAGCAAGGCCTCATAGGCTGAGAATGAGTCCGACGTTTCCATCAAGAAGTCCCACTTAAGAGTAAAGGAATATCAGGAATCACAACCCATTCTAATTTATTTTAATTTAGTTGCATAGTGGCAAATTTTCACCTGATCTACAAGAACGGCAACTGCTTGTGGTGGTGAAGACCTGTGCAGACAATGGCCACAGTGACCTCGGGACTCCAGGGAACTGCAATGGCAAAGCCAGCAGAACTCACAAAAATGGAGAATATGCTAAGAACGGCACAACCGGTGAGGGCGGGCCGTCTATGAAGCAAAGTAGGTATATCAACCAAACATAGGGGTAGGCGTGTATTGCAATATGTCTGGAGTTGTTATAACTTGCAAGTTCTGCTAGCAGGCAACCGAGCACGACAGCGCTTCCATTTCTTTGACTCTCCACTAGGTTCTTGTAGGAAACGACTCGAAGATGGCTACGGAAATATTTCCAGTTGGAAGGCAACTATTTGTAAAGAAGATGAGAGTACAAAAATATTACAACTATTTGTAAAGAAGATGAGAGTACAAAATACTATACTTACACGTGATTTCTGTGCGGTTTCTCTACGTGACATACTTAGTGGAGACCTCATAGAAAGCGGCTCTGAAGAAGGCGAAATTCGCCGAAACGTCAGCTTAATCGTGAACAAAGAATAGTAACACCTCGCGTTTGCTCAACAAAAATACGAAGAAAATCACTTGATCAATGCCGAGGTTAATAGAAAGTCGGTCGTGGCAAAAATATTACTATCTAGAGGATAAGACAGTGACATTTACATCTTCAATTTGTTGATTGGTAGTTTCTACAAGCGCTGGCAATAGGTCATCCATGTATTTACCAGACATGTCTACGTTAATAAGGTAGAGATTACCTGCATACACCGAAACTATGAATAGTGAAACATTCGTGTAAATCATAAGGAAGCAAAAATGGCGCTACCGTGTACTCGTCCTATCAACACAAAGGCATTGAGAAGCCAGTTGGGCGTTGTTGTTCATTAATGCCTTTCCTCTGTTGTAAGTTTTGATGATTACTGGTCTCGACGGTTTTATTCGAATGTCATCCATCATGAATCGTAGAGTAGATACCGTGATAATGTCTCTCTTATCTGGACACTTCATAGCCGTCACACCACCAGGGTTTTTCTGGGGCGTTCATTATCCTGTTCTAACACTCTGGAAGCTCGGGAAATGCTGGGGAAATCCTCACCTGTTGCTCGGTCAGAGGCGAATATGGTTGGTTTTTCGTTGCAGTAAGGTTTCGCTAAAGAGACACGGTGTAGTTATCGGTAAACATGTCTTCCTTCCTTCATTTGGAGAATCGTGTTTCAATTTGATCATTACAGAAACTGCTACAGTCCTAGTTCATGATGACACCTTACTAGAATACACCAAGAGTCTGCCAACGTACCAGCCTCAACTGGATTTTGAATACCTCAATGCCATACCTACTCTCTTTCAGTGTTAGGTACTGATAGAACACTCTGGACGGTATGAGTGGTTTTTCGATGCCAGATGTTTTTTCTAGACCTGTTCATTATGGTGGCCTTACTACAAGGTCGACAAATGGATTAATCTTGTGTAAACCATCTCGCTCCCCAAGACTTGCATTATCCACTAAGAGCGGGTGTGCCAGAAGCCTTCCAAAGGTTTCTCTCGACATAATCTTAGAGCATATTGCACTACCTCCTTATATATGATTCATATTCCGGTAGTTCCTTAATTGGGATACATGGCAATTAACATCTGGAGATACGTGTCTATGAGCATTCTCATCTCTTCAACACTTGTGACTTCCGCGTTGTTAATCATTAGGTGACTTGAGCGGGCACGAGTAAAATTTTTATTGACACCATTCTTCTGGTATTTTCCAGCTAGTACTAATCCGTCTGCTTTAGGTTGGATTGTCATCCTAAAAGAAATAACTTTGGTTGTTAGTCGAACAATGACCAACCTAAATGTTGGGGAATTACTGAGTGGCTTCAGGTCACTTCTCGCAGCTATTGCTCTTTGTATAAAAAGGCTCTATGGCCCTAGTTTGGTCCGCTCTAGTCGACTGTCTCCATGCGATGGTAACGAAGACCGGCAACGCAGGTGAAACCACCGAAACGCTATCCATAGTAAAGACTTGCAAAAACGTCATGCAAGCTCACTAGTAGAGAAGTCGTTGAGTTATTATCAACGAAGAGATTCAATAGAAGTCGGTACTGACATCATAGCTTGTGCTTTCGGAGATGTTCATTCTGCTAAGCGTGAGTGGGGCACAGGAAATAAGCTCATTCCACGTGAACATCGTTTTCATTAGATTTGCGGGTTAGCAATCTTTCCGCAAGCGTTGTGAATGTAGGCTGGTATTCGTTTCTGCTGGATAATGGTTAGCTTTGTAAGAAGAATTTTCTTTATAAGAGGTTGAATGAAAGGCCAAACGAAAAACATAGTCAGGTGGAGAACGCACTAGACCCCGGAAAGAGTAATAGCGTGGTCGGTCCCCACAACAAACATCAGCGGTCCGGAGTTTTGTAAATGTCTCAGCATCATTATGGTTATAAGAACAATATCATCACCATCTTAACCTTTTTATTTACTGTCTA